TCCCTCCCCTCCCGGCAGCGGGCAGCGAGGCCAGGGCAGAGCTGGGGGGAGCGCCTTTCCTCTTTTTACTCCTCTCCCAAACCCTAAAATGAGCGCTCTCCTGGGCTCCCAGAGCTTAGAGGAAGGCGTAGCTAGAGATAGCTCGCTCCCTTTCCCTCTGCCCCCCCCCCACTCTCTCTCCCCCTCCCCCCCTCCCCCTCGGTGTTTCTTCCAGCTCAGCCTCTTTCTCATTCCATCTCTACGTGCCCAGAGCTTCAAATACAACCCTCCCATCACAATCAGATGGGCACAAAACTTCAACCAGCCGTTTCTCTCTGCCTGGAAGCGGTGAAAATATAACCTGGATGGGTAATTACAAACAAGGTCTTTCTGTGTTTTTTAAATCATCAGTTTCACTTTGCTGCTTGGGAGTTTATTTTATTTTATTGCCACGTTAGCTGCGTCTCCTTTTGGTTGTTCCACTCTTGTCTCTTTGTCTCTTATTGGCGAAGTGGGGGTGTGCAGTGCACTGTGTGTGTGTCTCTCTGTAGTTTTCCGTGAAATTCGAAATCTTGCTCCTACAAGCAGACATTTTGGAAAGATTATATTCATGAAAAAGGGTGCGGAAGGGTGACTGGTGGCTGGGACTTGGGCAATGATTTTCATCTTACAGATAAACATGTTTGTAGGGGAAGTGGGTGAAATGTGAACCCTTCTTAAGTTTCCCATGCCATTCATAAACTGGATTGGAAGAGATAAAAATCTCCCTGCTGGGAACACTGAAACACATCCTAACACATTTCCTCCTCTGCAGAATCCTTATCCCGGGTTAATCACAGCGTCACCTCTTGTTTCTATATGTGCAACTTTTCCTTAATGTAAACCCTGGAAAACGCAGCACATCAGATTCCTGCTGCTACTGATTCCTTTTTTTCTCTGATCAGCTTCATAGTTAAGTGAGTGAGAACACATGAGGCATGATGGAGGGTGCACTGTCTTTATTTTTTGGGGGTGGGGTGGGATGGGGAGGAGCCTAGAGAGAGCTGTGAGTTTGATGGGTCAGTTGGGGGTTAGAGATGTAATTTCATAACTCAATTATTTCATACTTTCTGGCCTCTCTCTCCATTTTTATTTTACTTAACAATTTCTCAGAGATCTGGTTATTTTCAAAGAGTATGTAATACATGACTGAATTAAAATTAGACTTTCTTTGGTGTTGCCCAACTTTTTCCCTTACCTCAGAGATGACCTGCAGGCATGTCCAATGAATTCTTGTGTGTGTGTAGAAAAACTACCTGTTTCTCCATCTGCATGATACTCCCTTCTCTCCCTCTCTGCTCTCTCCTATCATCCTGTGAGGGGGCACTGCTGTGCTTCTGGCACCTGGAGAGGGTTCTGGTGTCTGGAGAACAGAATGAAGATTTCACACCCCTGCTAAGGTACCTGTAGGCTATAGAAAGAGCTACATTTGCAGACTGAAGATTTCTCCAGCTTGGTTTCTTGTCCTGTGAGGATGGGGTTGGGAAGGGGCAGATCTATGGATCCCACTCAGCAGGGAACCCAGCACATTCAGCCAGTGGGTCAGGTGGGTGGTTTTCTTGGCTCCCATTTTTAAGGAAAAAGTGAAGGGCAAGCAGGAAGGGCTCTTAGATAGACTAGGCCTTTGGGGGCAGTGGAGAGAGGCTTGCGTATAGCCACACACGCCTGAGAAGCTTGCCCTCACTCTGTCACCTTTGACCTGAGAAGTCCCTTCAGACTGGAGATAGAGGCCTCCTTCTCATCTCCCCACCCCTTTCACACCAACCCCTGAATCTTTTGCTCAAATGAAATCAGTAACAGAGGCTCAGAGCTTCTGATTGTCCACAGAAGCAGCTAACATCTTAGCCACTGACAGCGGCCACGGCTTTAGCAGCATTTTGTTAATCTTCTGGCTAGATAATCATTGAGAAAAGGAAAGGGGATTGGGGAGGAAGGTAAGAGCTTTCAGGCTGCAAGTATGGGAAGAAAGAGACTTCTGGAGACAGAATAGACCTGATGTCATAGCTCGACTCGGCTACTTGGTAACTGCACGACTCCAAACAAGTCCACTTCCCAGAGCCTCAGTTTCACAATATGTTAAGTGGGCACATTAACACCTGCCTTCTTTTTTTCTGATGTTATTCCCAGCTACTCCCTGCTTTTCACTGTTGCTACCCTGCTCAGGCCTCTACCATCTCATTCATAGCACTTTAGTGTGTATGTGTTATCTCTCCTACTGACTTTGGAGCCCTTTGAAGTCAATAGCTGTGTCTTACTCACCATTACATCTTCAGGACCTAGTCCAGAGCTTGACACATAGTAGTTGCTTAATAAACAATGGCTGAGTGATCATAGTGAGGTTAAATAGTATGAGATAGATGAAATTCCTGGTACATAGTAGGCACTCTCCCCCCATTTACATCCAGTTGGTCTCGAGCTTCTTTTTCCATCTAACTCATGTACCACCCTCTGCCCCTTCCTAACCCAGCTCTACTCTGTAGGTCCCTTCTGCAGACCAGGCAAGGTCACCTGGGAAGAGCTGGCTTGGTGCAAGTCCCATTAGATGGTCTGGATCCACCAGGCACACATACTTAGCAGCTGCTGAATGGATGCTCTTAGGGGAGCAGCTTTGTGTGCCCGTGGTTGGTTACTCAGTAAGGGCTTAGAGGAAATTAGCTGAAATGCCACAGGCCTATTTTGAGCTCCTTCTTTGATGGAGTGAAAATAACATGGGATTTGGGAGCAGCAGACCTGGCCTTGAAGCACAAGGCTGACATTTCCTCATTGTTTGACCTTGTGCAGTCACTTCACTTCTCTGAAACTCTCTCTTCATCTGTTAAGGAGGACCACAGGCAAGAGCCTTACTGTGTGGTTGTCAGTGTTACATGTTAAAAGCAATGACAATAGCTAATGTGCCAGGTGCTGATCTAAGCTGAATTCCATCATTATTCCCATTTTACAGATGAGGAAACTGAGTCACATAATGGTGTTTTTTAAGTATTTGGCCTAAGGTTGTCCATTTAGTGAGTGACAGCTGGTAGTCCAACCCAGCTGCCCAGCTTAAGAGCCTATGTCCTTACCACTGTGCTGTGACCCAAGCTATGAATTTTCTGAATAAGGGTATTACACCCAATCTATTTCCTACTCATCCACAGATCTGACAAGCATTTAGGGAGTAACTTCTAGGTGCCAGGCATTTTCACACAGATTCTCACACTTAACTTTCCAAGAACCCTGCAAATGCATATTACTCTCTTATCCTATAAATGAATAAACAGAGACTCAGAGAGGTCTTGTATCAAATCTCAAGGTCATATATTAAGGTATGTGAAATACCAGAGATCTGAATATTTTGCACTGCTTCAAGTTCTACTCGCTCCATATCCCATGTTTATTCATTTATTCATTCAACAGATTAAGCAACTACTATGTGTTAGGTACCATGCAGATTCCTGGGGATGTTGAGCAGGGCAGACATGGTTTCTACCTCCATGGACCTGAAGACAAGCAGGAGAAACCGACAAGTAAGGAATAGCCACAGTTGGGTGAGGAATGCTATGGGGCCACGAAGCAGGAAAACCAGATCCAACCTCGAGAGTGAGGAACATCTGGAGGACAGGACATGTAAGCTGAGATGTAGGAATGAGAAAGAGTAAGCTAGGCCAATATGGAATGCGTGGAGGGGAGCTGAGAAGAGTGGAGGGGCGCTGAGAAGAGGAAGAGCATTCCGGAAGGAGGGAACAGCATGTGCAAAGATTCAGACGTGTGCACACATGGGAAAGACGATTGGCCAGTTCTAGGGGAAATGCTAAGTATGGCTGATACAAGGATAATGATGGGAAATATTTTAGGCTAAGAGCCTGGAGGCCATGAAAATGAGGTTGAAGCATAAGCAACAACCTGGGGGAGGCTGGTAGAACATGGAATGTGAAAACCAGACCTGGAGGCAGGGAGACAGGAGGGCAGCTATTGCTGGGCTCCAAGCAAGAGACAGTGGTGGCCTGGACCAGCTTGTGGCCATGTGGGTGGAAAGAAGTGGAGGTATTTGGGGATGCTGGGAAGGAAATAAATGAATATTGGCGTCCATTACTGAGGTGGGCCACTCTGAGGGAGAAGCAGGTAGGAGTGTTAGAGGTACAGGGAGTGGGGAA